CCCTGTTGCAGGACGCAGGGTGGCTGTGCAACCAGATCAACCAGTTCAGGTGTACAAGTCGGGAACGTCAAAATGTGCGGCCCACCTTCTGCTCCCTCCCTGGTCCAGTCAGCGTCGTATTCCATCTCAATCTTGAAGCCCCTAGGCGGTGGCACTGCAAACACTTTGAGGAAACAACTTCCCCGTTCCTGCAGCATGACTCGGGCCCATGCACGACGCTTGCTGCTCTGTCCTGTTCACACTCAGCTTTTATTCTGCATTCCTCCCTGCATCTTTGGCACCTTTTTGTCTGCTAGTGTGCAGTATGCAGGCAACAAGAGGTCCAATTGATCCAAATGTCACGGCAGGTCTCCTCGCGTTCATCCTCCTCTTCTTTCACTGCTCTCATTCTTCTGCCTAAATTGCCTCATTTGCAGCAAAAAATCACAACACGCGGCCAAGCATCCCTCACCGAGTCTCCTGCGCTTTGATTTTGGAGCATGTCTTAACTCCACACGCTCTTTGGAGGACGAACTTGAGTTGGAGACCTTCAACACAAAGTCCCACCCAGTCGGTTCAACACCGTCCGAGAATGTTGCAGTATGTTGCAGTATTTATCAAGTCTGGCTCCAGTGGCTGATAGATGTTTGTAGCCTCTGTGATCGACCGTGGTTGTGCAGATAGCGCCTCAGGGCTCAATTTCCACAGAGGGCCAGGCTATTGCTAATCACTAATATCACTAATCAGACTGAATTGGCATGCATGAAAACTGATCTTCTCAAGTTTCTCAAGCACTCCAAATCCACCACCATGTATCATCCATTATAGACATGATACACCTTGTTTAGATTTAGCAGTTTGAAAATTCTTGGATATGTTTGGATCAGATTTCCTCGAGAGTTCTCGTGATTGCTGAAAACTTAGGATCCATCCAGCTCCAACTCCAGGAGCATCTTGGTTTCCTCCTCCGAGAGCCCATGGCAGTCAGTCATGGCGCCGGAAACACGCGCCGCAAGAAAGATCACAGCTGGTAAGGGCCATTGGGCGCCGAATCACTATGCTTGACTGCTGCTTGACTCATGCTGGACTCATGCTGAAGCCTGGGGGAAAGAGCAGTGTTTCGTTTGCTTTGCGATCAAGTGAAGCTCATGCGGCGTGCTTTCTGCCTCACGCGCGATCTTCTGAGGATCTCTTGCATATCGGTCTCTAACATCTGATCCAACCTAGCTTCTTTGGCCAGCAGAGCAAAAGCTCTTGAATCTCGATGGGCGTCTATGCAAATGCTTCCTTGAGCATGCCGCAGACAGGCTGCTCAGCAGCACAGAGGTCACGATCTGCGGCTCACTGATATGATTAGCATTGGTGATGATGGATGCTTCATATTGAAATATTTCCTTAGACACGGGATGCAGATCAGCATCAGTGGATGGTGAAAGCTGACAAACCAGCTCAGACTGGGATGCTCTGAGTTTCTCTGTGCGAAATTGCACGCCATTGCTCTGCAACATCTCCTAGCTGCTAGGGTCAAATCGGAAACATGGGGACGCTGTGGACATGGGGTCGAGCATCAATGTCATACACCACGTATGTGTATCATGCATACACACACGTCGAGCCACAAACGCAAAGAGTGTCAAAGAGGTAGATCAGGTAGATAGGGGGCAAAACAACAAGAACTTCTGGTTAAAATGCCGTCATCCGGACGGTCCGGACCGTTTCAACATCAAGTGGACAAGTTGGATCATTGCACAGACATGCACGGACCTGTCCTCAAAGTACTGGACTGAGCCCAGGCTTTGCCTCTCGATGTTGTCTGGTTCCTCCGGTCAGCGTCAGCTGGCACTGGGGCAGCATAGCAGTGCTGGGAGAGTTTTGCATTTCAGGCAAGTCTCCACCAGAATTGCAGGACCATCCAGGTGGAGAATGAGATTCACCAGAGATGGGACCACTTCTTTGTCATACCTCCAAGGCTATAAGAATTGCAAGAACTAGATACAAAATGATACAAGCAGCATATAGCAGCATGGCAGAATGATCTCTCCATGCAATCTTTCAAAGGGCGGAATGAAAGGCGCTACTTAGGCCAGGTCACAGCACATCTGCTGCCACGACCAAGCCATTGAAAGGCTTTGGCCAGCTACTTCTGTCTCCCCAATCGAAGGCAGCAGTTGACCTGATCGTTTTGTGATGTTTTGTGAGATTGGAAGCCAAACATCAGCCTCCGAAAACCAGCTCAAACCATACAGCGCATCGTCAAAGCAGGTGCTCTCAGTGCTCTCACTGAGGCCAAGGACACCGTTTCACCCATGCCATTTCTGGCTGCGGATTTTTGCCTCACTCCGCACTCATCGTGTCATTTGCTTGTCACCCAGAGTTGATTTTCAGCCAAGAGACGCAATCTCCAGGACCTAAGTATCCGATAGTTGATAGTTGTAGTGTTTCTGTTGCAGCTTGCATTGACCCTCCTGCACCTTCGCAGATTTTTGCAGCCATGCCACCAGTGCGTCCCGGTCTGTCAAAAGAACTCGAGGTGCTCCGGACTTGCCAGCAACCAGACCTGAACATCCCACACATTCCCACACAACCCGCACAATCCATACTCACACTCTCGCCGTGTGTTTGCAGTGGAAAAGCTGAAAGATCTGAAAGCTGCCTGCCAGCCCTAGACCAGCTCCAATCTCGCAAACTCCATCGGTTTGCCATAGCTCTCGCCTAACACACAACAAGATCATTCAGATACGTCATGGCACGTCACTGTCCAATGAGTCCACAGAGTCCACAGAGTCCACAGAGTCCACAGAGTCCACAGAGTCCACGTCGCTGTCCACATGCATCGCTTTGCATTGCTTTGCTTTTGCCTGAGGAGCAGTGTGTCTGCCAACGCTTGCTCCGCTGGCCTTGGCACGAGAATCTCTGGGCAAGATCCGGCAATCTCTGTACCCTAAAGCGCAGTAACTTCAAAAGGCTTAGGAAATGAAAGGATACACTGTGTGACACCCTAACCGGACCCTAACCCCCTTTCAAGGTGAGGGTTCTCTGAAATTCGGTAAGAGCTGCCATACAATGTCGGAGACCGTTCCAGCACCGGCTTCAACCATCATTGAAAAGCGTTTGTAGTCCAGCACCTCAGCTACATTGCATCCACTCAGCACGACAGAACGCATTTTAGCCAGCAATGTGTGAGGTGCTCAGTTTCTCACATACGCTGGTACCAAAAGAGGCAGTTCCAGGTCGCCTATTTGAAATATTTGCTCAGCAGTCTCACTGAGCAAGGTCTTTCTGGCATTGTTGGTAGAGGGGTCCTCCAGCTCAAGATTGGTCGTGACAATTTAGGGGGTCCGCTTGCTGCACGATCAATGTCAAGGCGTGCAGCTCTCTCCTTTCCAAGCCGTCGTTGTCTTCGCTTCTCCTCTTCACTTTTGCTCGCAAGTCCTCCTCCAAAACCTCTTTCTTTCCTGACGTTCTCTGGTCTCTACTGAGCAGGATGCTTGGTAAAACATGGACGGATTTGGTCAAAAGACACTCCAGGGAGCAGTTAATTATATAAATCGACTTTGTGGAATCTGCTGCTATAAGTCACCAAGCTTTAGCCAAGCCACTTGACTGGTTTTGCAGGAAGGCCCCCGCCAAATCCTACAGCTGCCCTGTCTTCATGTTGAAAAAGTGCTATCAGCAAAGCCTGGGCCGAAGGGCGGGAGTAATGAAACGTCTGAATTCATCAAGCGAGGGGTGGGACTGCTGACTTACCTGGCAACGTCACACCTATAAGAGCAGCGGCAACAACGGACCCTGAGGATGCAAAGAACTGATTGCCCTCAGCTTCGGACTGTCCAAAGCAGGTATGCCAAGAGTGGCCGAGGCGCAGCACATGACGATGCCATCGCTGCTGGGAGAGTCTCTCATTCAAACTCTACTGTTCGTTTTGAGCAGGCTGATCTTCCACCAGTTGTGAACTTTCTGGTGGCTTCTGATCTTGAGAGGTGTTGTACTGAGAGGTGTTGCGAAAGAGACTTTCCTGATCTTGCCATGTACAGTGTCTCGTGGGACTCTTTCTCTAAACCAAGTGCCTGCAAGTCCACCACTGTGATAGCGAAGAAACAACAAACTGCAACAGCCAAGTGCAAGGGAAACAAGCAGTGCAACTGTCCTTCTCTTTGAACCTTTTTCCTCCCCCGCAGCTTGCAGCTGCCCCAACGAACCATTCGTCAAGACTGTAGAAGAAGTGAATCAGCCTATGGATGAATCTCGATTGGGAAAATATCGGACACTGGTCAAAACGGTTAAATTCCAATGTTGCCTTTTCACCCTCCACAGCCTTGACACCCGAAGTAACCCCGAACCCCAAGCCAGTGACCATAGGCACTGACATGTCCCCGGAGAAAAAACAAGGAGACCAATGGACAACAAGCTCTGTCTTAGTCTTGCGTCTAGTCTTAAATGATCTGGAATGCAGCTCCGTTCAGGTGAGCTTCTGTCTTTTCACGTTTTGATCAGCCTGGCAACTGTCACCGAAGTGGCAAAATACATTGCACACCCTGCTGTGCTAGACAGCTGCCTTGGCTTCTGGTGTAAGCTCTTGCTGTCCAATATCCGTTTGAATCTTGGCAAGTGCATCCATTTTTGCGACTCTTTGCTTCAACAAGTTTGCAATATTCTGTCCTTGGTGTGCTTGGCAAGTCTGTGATCGTCAGCCCGAGGCTGATGGTGTGCAAAAGTCGCTCCATACTCAACTCTTGACTGAAGTGTGCAGGATGGAGTGTGGATGGTCTGAGTGAAACTTGCCAGCACTGCCAACTGCAACATACTGCAACAAGTATCTTTGCAAACCAAGTGTCTGGTTCTTTCGGCATCAATTGCCTGCAAAGAGCCCAAGCAAAAGTTTTTTTAAAATAAATCCGCCCACACCGCTTTGGCGGTGAAGGCGTGCTTATTGGGGGGCAAAACAGCAACACTAAATGCTCAATCACATTTGTTAATACAGCAGTCGCTATATCAGCTTTAGCTGGGGGGGGGCCAAAAACGGTTTCGCTCCGAGACCAGAATACGGTGGTGTTTTCGACATTTTTCGAGGATTTTTGGGTGTCTGAGCGCAAGAGGGTATTGAAATGGAATTTTGGGTCATTTTGGTAGCTTTCCGGCAATGGAAAAACGGCCAAAAATGAAAAAAACATTGTACATAGCAAGATTTTGCAGGGTTTTTGGATGCCAGAGCATTGAAAACACTGCAAAAACAAGTGTTTTGGACTGACGTTATAGCAAAAAACGTGTAAATTACCGTATGCTTGACTGGAAACATTACAAAAACACTGTCAAAAGCAATGTTTTGGAAGGATTTACTGCCTTTATGGCAAAAAACGTGTAAATTACCGTCTGTTTGACTGGAAACATTGGAAAAACACTGTCAAAAACAATGTTTTGGAAGGATTTCTTATATATATGTTGGAGTTGGCTACCGGCATTGGAACATGGAAAAATTGAAGAAAACACTGTAAATAGCGGTATTTTCAACGGTTGGGGAGATAAGGGAATTGGAAGCATTGTCGAACATGATGTTTTCGACCGGTTTTATGGCGACAAAAGTGTAAAGTACCGTGCTTTGAAGGAAACCATTGCAAAAACATGGAAACACATTCAAAGAACACGGGATTTGGGGGATTGTCTAGGCGTCGTTGTCTAGCTATTTGAAATTCCGCAGCTTGGAGAGCCTCCAAGGGAGGGAAAAGTGAAAATTCCATAGCTTGGGAAGCTGTCACGGCGGGGAAAAGTGCAAATTCCCTAGCTTGGGAAGCCCCCACGGGGGGGAAAAGTGAAAATTCCCTAGCTTGGAGCCCCCACAGGGGGGAAAAGTGAAAATTCCCTAGCTTGGGGAGCCCCCACCGGCGGGAAAAGTGAAAATTCCCTAGCTTGGGGAGCCCCCACGGGGGGGAAAAGTGAAAATTCCCTAGCTTGGGGAGCCCCCACGGGGGGGGAAAGTGAAAATATTCACGAACCCAGCAGTTATGTATGTCAATTCTCCTGTGCTGCTCTGCTCCTCATATTCCACACCACCCTTAGCCGCCCCTCTCACGGACCGAAATAAACCTGCGGTGTGGGCGGCCACCCCACGCGAAGCGGGGTGAGTATATATATATATATATATCACCTCCGAAAACGAGATTTGCGCTTCGAGCACTGGATCTGAAAACTAACCTTCACTGAAATACAGTATCTGACCAACGCCTTCTTTGCTTCTGCGAGAGTTCGGTATCTCTTGCCATGAGGATCAATGTACTCCCGTCGCTCGCGACCTTTCAATCGGAAGGTTTCCTTAAGTTGCGCGCAAAGATTAAATGATGATCGAATTTATATAAGATGGTAGGGTTTCTTCAACTGCTCATGAGAAACATCAGCTCCAGCTGCTGGCAGGGATCAGTTCTCCAACCGACTGGCAAGAAAGGCTTTTTGACTTCTCCATCTTCACCGTTGTGGTCGCTGATGCTGAAATCGATAGCACTACTCCTTCACACGGAGATCCCATGTCTGGAAGCCCAAGCCCAAAACAATGCACTCGGTTGAAGTGTGAAACGTGCAGCCGCAGACAGGGAATGAAGAGCCTTCCAACATGGCTTCCAGACTCTGTGAGTTGCATGCCAGCTCAAACATCATCAAACCAACTATAGTTGACTGACACCGCCGGTTCGCAAAGGTGTTCTTAGATACTCGCATGCTAGCGGTTCTTCTCGCATATTCTTGCCAATTGCTACGAGACTGCTGCCGGGGGAATTCCGAAGGTGCAATTATGAAGGTGGGCCGCGTGGCTTTCCTATGCAAAAAGCTATCTGTTGACAAATCTTTTGCTCTGCACCATTCAGGTCTTCCAGCTTACTTTTTGCATAGGCCATCTACGAAAATACATCTGATTTCGAGGAGGACTTGTTCGACATCTTTGGTCCAAGGTGCTCCCCTTCACTTTGTCCGACTTCTTCATGCCCTGCCTGCCATCAACCAACAACTGGTGAAATGGTGCGACATATTTAAACATAAGATCTCTTTACATTACATACACTCTCCGTGGTTCCACATGTCTGCTCTGTTCTCATTCCCACCTTTTTCCGCCGCTCTGCCGCAAGCAAAATGGCACGGTCCACTGCTTTCTTGCGAAGCTCCTCCAGGGCCTCAATCAACCAAGCATCCAACAGCAACTGCATGCAACCCATGTTGCAACCTCATGGTTTTGCAATTAAGTCGTGTAAACATATGTGTAGTTAACAGCTAAAAACCGGGATACGCCACAAATCCGCACAGCGTGTTTCTTGAGCCAATGCAACACAATCTATAAGGTGAAAAGTATGTATACATGCATAAAGACTGTGCAACAACACCCCCCGTGCAGTGTAGTTACCGCCCGGGTAGTGAAGCTGCAAATTAGGCTATGTACAGTCTAGTTAGGGATGCCATTAGTTAACATAAACAGAAAACACAACAACAAACCCAAACCCGACCGTCGCCTAACCTTTCGAAGTCTTTCGTGCTTTCACCTCAGCGTTGCACGAAGTTGACAAACAAGATCAACAGCGATAGCAATCCATTCAATCTAACGTCACGTTGTGCGAAAGAAGGATGCAGTGCAAGTCAATTCGGCCGAATGCATTCAGTTTCATTTTGGCTCTACCGGGCTTGTGGTCGAACATGCAAACGTGTTGAAGTGTGGCCCATTACAAAGGCCAGCGTTTCCACGCGGCATCAAAAGTTCTTGTGGACGCCCGGGAGCATGCCGAAGCAAACAAAATGAATTAAAGCAAAATGCTGAATTCGGTTTCGATGTGAACCCGCAGGGAAGCTTTCAGAAATGCTTCAAAGATGCCTTAACTTAGCAAGGCAAGAGCTTCCGCTCTGCGGTTCATGCAACTACCAGCCGTGTGCTATGCAAGAAGGAATCATGGCAAGAATAAGATGAGTGCCAAATGCCTGCTTCAAATTATATGCATTCAAAGCGTTAATGAAACTTTTGTGAACTTGACTGAGTTGGCAAAAATTCCGACTTAGCACACTAGTGTTGGAAATGATCGTGGAATCGCTCACCCACGCGTGCAAAAATGAAGCTAGTCGCCTAACCGAATTAAATCCGAAAAGGCAACAGCTTCCGCTGTGCGACACCTCACTTTGAGAGAAAGCTACCCCGCCTCAGATGAAGATAAATCCACCAGGCGAGAGGTTCCCCTCCGCGGTGCCTCAGCGATAGCCCGACCAACGTCGATCCCTGTATTGGTGGCCTTGATTTCGACGGCGCCAATCTTCCCACTCCTGGTCAGTCCACTGATTGTAGTAGTCATTCCATTCCTGCTGACTGTAGCCATGAGTGGGCCCCTGATGAGAACCATAGCCAGGACGCGAGGACCTGGTAACATCCGGGTTCTGCTGCCTTGTAGCAGGTAGGGGTCGGCTTCCGCCTTCCGTGTCCTTTGCCTCCGTGAGGGGGCGCAAGATGTCCTCGACATAGCTGAGAATGTCGGCATACACATCCTGCTTGGACAACGCAAGGGATTGGAACGTCGTGTTGGCGACGCTCAAGACCTCAAAACGTTCGGCCACCGGGATCAAGGCATAGGCGGCCGCGAACTGGTTGGCTCTGTAAAAGCGGTTCTTGTACCAGATGAGTACATGATCATCCACGATGATCGTCTTCATCTGCTCCTCTTCGTATGCGACCATGCACATACGCGCTTTGTACTGCCGAATCTTTCCAGTTCGGATCTCCTCTCGCGTGCGCTTGATGGAGGGAAGCACCACATTGCCCAGAACTGTAATCCAATGCATACACCGAGGTGTAAGGTCTTGGACCGCACAATTAAAGGCGTAATGGGCGTCCGTTCCCAGACGCTGTAGCAAAGTCAGTCCAGCTTTTCTCGCCTGCTTCATGTATGAGCGGGCGTGATTTTTGAGGACTGCAGCAGCAGATCTGATCTGCTTGGCACCTTGTGTGGTGCCTGCTACATCGTCATCACCCAGAAGATCCAACGTCAGCTCGAAGCCCAGCTTCTCGGCCAACTCTTCCAGGCGGAACACCTGACACGCACGGCGCATGTCGGACATTGTCGCCAACGACAAGCCGCATGCAAGGCAAACCAACATCCCCTCAGGAAAAATCTTCCTGCACCGGGGGCATGTCAACTCCGGCATTGCCAGCATTGATACATACCGCCAGCGCGTGAGGTTCCCCTCCGCGGATGGGTCAAAGGCCTCCTGATCGAAGCGATCAGAACGGCGTTCCCGCGCGTTGTCAGGGGCGATGTCGAAGCCAGCAGCTGTTGCCGTCAGCTTGCGTGCCACACAGAGGAGATTGGTGAAGTTGAGCGGCCTTTGCTTGAACTTGGGCAGCAACTCATCGACGACAGGGTATGGTGTCGGAACTTCCTTGTAAATGAGCGGACGTCGCAGAGTGATGACATCCTTCCACTGATCGTACTCATTCACGAACATGTTCTTCAACACCTCCAGGTCCGAAATCTCGTACCTCTCAAGTTCGTCATAGTTGGGAGTGCCCTTCCGAGCCTCGTTCTCTTGCCAAGTGAGAGCGTTCTCGGAGGCCTTCTGCCGAAGGTACTTCTTCACACCGTTGTAGCCATGGTTCGCCCAAAGGTATTGCGACTTCTCGCAATCGAATGCGTAGATGAGGCAATGATTGGGCACCCAGTCCTCAGTGATGAGTGCACCGGCCAAGGTTTCCACCAGGCGAAGACCATAGTGCAGAGCACAATCGGTGTCGATCGCTATGCACAGTGGTCTGTTCGTCCTGATGCCAGGATCCTTGCCTTCAATTTCCCAAGGCGCATGGCGGGTCATATACGCATGACCCTTGCATGAAGTGGCCCCTGGAAAAATCCCCGTGCAAATGATCTGCTGGAGGGAGTCCCATGAAGTGTAATGGTAAATAACCTTAAACTCTTCTGAGACCTCGGCTTCCGCCAGGTGAGGATAAATGGGAACCCTGGGGTAGAATCCCTTCTTCAAATCCTCGACCGTGAACTGGTAGTCAAGCGAGATGATTTGCTTGACCAATGGAGCCGTTCCCACCTTGTCAATGAGCGACTGGTCATGGCCTTGGCAGGCCTTCACGTGGGTGATGCGGTAGGGCATGTCCATGGTTGTCAGTTCCCCGACAATTCCAGCCTGAATGCGGCACATGAACCTGTCCTGAGTTCGAAGAATCAGGTACAAGTCCTGTCGCGAAAGCTGAGCACGATGCCGCTTTCGGAGGTACGCGTACATGGACTCAAAGTTCAAGTACAGCTCCTCATCAAATTCAGGAGGAATATGGCGATGATGTGCCTCGAGGAATTTGTGATCATATCCACGGAGCAGCCCGGTCACCCTCTTTGAAAATTTGAAATCATCATGACTGAGTCTTCCAAGGTCCCTCAGGCCTGGCAGGTCTGTACACCGAACGGTGAATTCCCTGCGCTCGCCCGTTCCCGGGGAGAAAAAGTACCACTTGGGATATCCCTGTGGTCGCAAGGGCGGTTCAGCCGGAGGCTGAGGTCCACCCGTTCCCGGGGGAGGAGCACTTGCCATAGGCGGCTCCTTCTTGGCCATCTTCGGGGCAGGCTCCGACGAAGACGTAGCTGCAGGCGCCGATGACTTCTGCGGAGGTGCCCTCGGTGAGGTTGTTGTCAACGTTGCAGGCGGTGCCTTAAAGGGCAAAGCTTTGGGCATTGGATGGTCCGCAGCTTCCGCTGGGAGTGCAGGTGGCTCCGGCTTGGGGGATCCAGTTGCACTCTTCGGAGTCGGTGGCGGACTGGGCTTTGGGGACGCCATGGGAGACGTTCCCGTCGCCGTTGAAACCTTTGGGAGCCGCGGAGCAGGCTTGGGCTGAATCATGGTAGCCTGATCCCTCATCTTGGGTTTGATGAATTGGCTGACAGTGTCCCCGATCACCTGTGCGATGCCGCTCGAAGATGATGCCGCTTCGGATGAGGAAGCAGCCTTCGACTTGGCCTTCGACACGATTTGGACAGTGGCAGCAGGGTCACCCGCGCGAAGTTTCTCCTCGGCGGTCTTGGGCTCCTCAAAGATCTCCCGTTCCATCTGACGATGCTTCTCCTCATCCGTCAAGTCAAAGCGACGAATGATGACTGCACCATCTTCGGTCTGCTGCATGGATTCCTGCCGAAGTTCGAGCTTGGCAGGGTCACGTGTGACGTCGGTGTCCAAGATGTTCACTACGCCAGAACCATCCAATCTGAAGTCCACTGCATGGATCTTATTCATCAGATGGGAGCGCAGCTTCCGCTGGCTAAACATTGATGCTGAGCCGCCGACAATGGGTTCTCTGAAGACAATCTCCTCGTCAGCATCCGGCTCGTCAATGTCACGCTCGTCGGAAACACCCGGCAACCGATCCAAAAAGGGCTTGAGGATGGCGTCGATGAGCTCACCATCCATCTCCGGCTCTTTGACCTCATGCGGTTCAAAGTGCTCGGGTTCCCCCGGCAGTGCAGCATCCACGGACTCCAAAAGCTGCCAGTTTGATGAGGCCACAGTGGCATCATCCTGCACCGTAGGAGCCTGTGCGACTTGTGCACGTGCGGGGTCAACTTCATTGGGAAGCCGTTGCCCTTTGGGTCGGGTCTCCTTCACATAGATTTCCCAACCGTCCACGTCCATGGAGACCAACACTTCTTCCATCTCTTCCCATTGAGGGTTGTTTTCAGGTTGAGGGTTGGCCAGCGATTCCTCGCGGCGCTTCTTCATCTCAGCCATCTCAATCAATGGCTTGCACGACCGAAGTCGAAAAAGATGATAGCCGAGAGCGCCAGCTTCGGAATAGAAGCGAATGCACTGGAGACGGTTGTGCTCCGAATTCTCCATGTGCTGGCCGTCGTATCGTGTAGTACACTTGATAAGCGACGTGGCATCGAGGACGCAGAGTCCACGTTTCCTCAAAGCCTCAGCTTCGCGAATCATTTGACGGTCAAAATCGGGGTGCAACCCATACCCCCTGCCGTACCATGGCATGATGAGGACGATGTTCCCAACGTCGGCACGTGTCGTCAGCTTAACGAGGTCGTTCAAAGCGGAGAAATGGGTATTGACCCTTTCCTCCATGAGATCGTTTGCTGCGTCACGGCGCTTTTGGGAGTAGCATGCCATCTCCTTGTCAAGCCAATCACAGTGA